TTTTTTTTTTTTTTACCCTGGGTAGAGTGTCATAGCGTCATCGTTCATAGCAGCCTCAGACTCTTGGGGTTGAGCAATCTTCTTGCCTCACCAAAATACCTAGCTAGTTTTTTTTCCCCCCTAATTTTAGTAGAGATGGGATATGACTCTTGGTTGGGCTGGTTTTGAACTCCTAAGCACAGTGACTCTACCTGCCTTGCCTCAGACCCGAGCTCGGCCATATCTGAGGCTCCTGGGCAGAATTGAGTCATTCCACTGTGTTTTAGCTGCAAGGTCATCAGATAGCAAGTGTCTGGTATTTTTAGCATCTAAAATGAGGGAGAAGTGGTGTTGGGTGGATTATCAGTGTCTGTGAGTGTGGGGAATTAGTTGATTTAGGGTGTAATAAGACATTGTGAGTGCAGAACTTTTCAGATTTCTTGGTGTTGATCTTTGAGGTACAAGTTTGAAGGTTCCTACTTAGATTGAAAGGCATGTGTTAGTGTGGACTATGTAGCATGCAGTTCTTAACCTGTTTATTTATTTATTTATTTTTGAGATTGTCTTACTTTGTTGCCCTTGGTAGGCAACCATGGTGTCATAGCTCACAGCAATCTCAGACTCCTAGGTTCAAGCGATAGTCTTACCTCAGCCTTCCATGTAGCTGAGACTACAGGTGCCAACACCCGACTATTTTTATTTTTTTGTCAGGATTTTTAAAATTTATTTCAGATTAATGTGAGTTACAAACAATACCCGACTATTTTTAGAGACGGAGTCTCGCTCTAGCTCAGTCTGGTCTCCAACTCATGAGCTCAAGTGACTCACTCGTCTTGGCCTCCCAGAGTGCTGGGATTATAGATGGGAGCCACCATGCCTGGTCATGTTTATCTTTTTTGAAGTAATATCACTATTTTTTAGACAGGAGCCATTTGCCAAATTAACCAATTTTGGATATGTTCATTTTTTATTTGTGAACAAAAATAAGACAGATCTAGGCCTCAATAGTGCCATACATTATATAGCTCACAGGCAACTTTCATATACACTATATAAGTTGAATATTAACAACCACCTATGAGTAGAGTAGGTGCTTATGAGTTGGAAGATAAAATATGAATAGATACAGCTTTTGGGATATGGATCAGTATAGTAAACTGCTGTAGATACTATGATAGAAAAGTCACTTCTGGCTCGGCGCCTATAGCTCAACTGGCTAAGGCGCCAGCCACGTACACCTAAGG